TAGTTCTGAATGGATTGTCATGTGCATGATTAAATGGTCCAATGAAAGACCCCTGCAGTTTGTAGAACAGAGCCTTTATTTTCAAACAAACTCAACTGCATTTAGTTATCTGGTCTGGGTTAGAGCCCCTTTGAAAGTCATGGCTATGAGAAGAACTACAAGACAAACACTCTAAGTGTCAAATGGAAAGGCCTATTCATTTTTAAAAATCCCATCAACTTTTCATTTTTTTCGTAGTAAAAAAATTAATAGATTTTCATGAGGACAGCCTTCTAGGAGAACTGAAAAGTCTCTATTCTCTCTTTCTCCTTATTAAATCTAAAGGCATGTATCATTACCATATATCATTATTTTTTGTGTTTTTAAAAATCTCCATATCTAGCTGGGTGTGGTGGCTCACACCTGTAATCTCAACACTTTGGGAGGTGGAGGTGAGAGGATTGCCTGAGACCAGGGGTTCGAGACCAGTGTGGGCAACTTGGTGAGACCTCGTTTCTATGATAAATCAGAAAATTAGCCAGGCATGGTGGCGTGCACCTGTAATTTCAGCTACTTGGAAGACTGAGGCAGAAGGATTGCCTAAACCCAGCAGGTCAAGGCTGCGGTGGTCGTGAGCATACCAGGACACTCCAGCTTGGTCATCAGAGTGAGACTCCGACTCAAAAAAATATCTGTAGTTACATCTCCATTATCATCCCTTCTGTTTGTGTCTTTTCTTGTTTTCCTTCCTGGATTAGTCTTGCCAGAGTTTTTTCTATTTCTTTTACTTTTCTGAAGACTCACCTTTTAGTTATTAGTCAATTTTAGTCCTTTAAAAATTAATTAATAAATCATTAATGTCTGCCTTTATTCTTTAAAAGCATATTTAAATTGCTAATCATAACAAAATTGACACGCATTTGCAAAATAGAGGCATATATGGGAATTATTATATGTTTGACTACATTACTTGGTATATATAAAGGCCATGGATCACTGAAGGGGATTCTGTTCTAATTTTCATAAACTTCTACTTTCTTTGGAATGATTTGTTTTCTTTTTCAGATTTTCTGGGTTAAAAACTTGGTTGAACTTTGGTTTTCTTTTTCTGTTTTTTTTTTTTTTGAGTTGGAATCTCACTCCGTCACCCAGGCTGGGGTACAGTGGCACGCTCACAGCCACCCCAGCAATCCTTCCACCTCAGCCTTCCAAGTAGCCAGAACTACAGGTGTATGCTACCACGCCCGGGTAATTTTTTATTTATTGTAGAGATGAGGTCTTGCCAAGTTGCCTGGGCTAGTCTTGAACCTGCAGGCTCAGGTAATTCACTCACCTCGGCCTCAAAGTGCTGGGATTATAGGCTGAGCCACTGAGCCCTACTGATTTGTTTTTCATTGTTTTGTTTTCTGTCAAATGAATTTAAAAAATAATTTAATAATTTAATTTAATAATTTAGCCTATATATACAGCTTTGGTTATATCTCACAATTGCAAAATTGCAAATATAGAAAAGTAGACCGGGCATGATAGCTCATGCCTATCATCCCAGCACTTTGGGAGGCTGAGGCGAGAGGATTGTCTGAGCTCAGGAGTTTGCAACCAGCCTGGGCAACATGGCAACACCCTGTCTCTACAATTAAAAAAAAAAAAAAAAAAATTAGCCAAGCGTGGTGGCACACACCTGTCATCCTAGCTACTAAGAAGGCTGAGATGGAAAGACTGCCTGAACCCAGCAGGTCAAGGCTGTCGTGGCTGTGATCCTGGCATTGCACTCCAACCTGGGCAACAGAGTGGGACTCTGACTCATAACAAAACAGAACAAAATGGTAACTTTATTCACTTGGTGGAAGGATTTTATGAATAATGTTCCTTCTATTATCATTTACTACTGGCATTAGACATTCATTGGTTACTTACTCTGTGTGGACATTAGAGAGTAAAAGTAATACCAAAGAGTTCCTCTGTTCAAGGAGCTAACAATTTCACATGGTGAAAAAAAAGTCAAATGAACTGAGTACTGGCTAGGTTTTCACCACAATTTTTCTCACTCTTTCTGGCCTACAATTTTAGCCTGTCTACCTACATTTAGCATAGACTTGGAGAAGAGGGAATAAGTAGAGGAAAGTATAACCATTCAAATTCATCTGTAGATTAATACTGTTAGTAATACCTATTACCTGGGTTTATTACCTGAACTTTAATTCCATCTGAGAGAGTTGGTGATAAGAGTCTTGGAAGGTCCTACAAATTATCTATTATTTAGGCCAGGCATTCCTTTTTTTTTGAGTTGGAGTCTCACTCTGTCGCCCAGACTGCAGTGCAGTGGCACGCTCCCGGTCACCGCAGCCTCAACTTGCTGGGCTTCGGCGATCCTTTCAAGTAGCTGGATCCTTTCAAGTAGCCTCAGCCTTTCAAGTAGCTGGAACTACCACGTCCGGCTAATTTTTTGATTTATTGTAGAGATGAGGTCTCGCCAAGTTGCCCAGGTGGGTCTCGAACTCGCGGGCTCAGGCAATCCACTCACCTCAGCATCCCAAAGCCTAGGATTACAGGCTGAGCCACCGAGCCCAGCTAGGCCAGGCATTCTTAATCTAGGTCTGTGAACTTTGATAAAAAAAATAAAGATAGACACCTATATATAATATGCATACTTACATTTTATCATACATTATATATATATATTTTCAATAAATCCAAATTAAGAATTAGCAGTTCTTCCATTATGAATGGAAGAGACCACAGACCACAGTAATATGAACAATACCTGTGACTTGGCCCTCAATAGAAATCACACATATTTTCTACCCTGTTAAGGTATTGTAGATTTCTCAAAATATCATTTGTGTGTATCACCACAGTAAAATTGTTGTAGGTCTTAATCTTGTTATTTGATGTATTAATAAAAAGCAAACATTGAACTGCTTTAGTTATCTATGGTGGTGTAGCAAACTACCCCAAAAGTCAGTGACTTAAAACAACAAATGTTTATTGTCTCACAGTATCTGTGGGCCAGGAATCTTAGTTTGGCTCGGCTGGGTCAGCTGGCTCAGGGTCTGTTTTCACGAGGCTGCAGTCTAGGTGTCAGGTGGGGCTGTAGTCTCACCTGATTGTTGGCAGGATCCAGTTCCTCACAGGCTGTTGAACTGAGGGCCCGGATTCCTTGGTGGCTGTTGACTGGAGATCACTCTCAGTCCCTTGCCATGGGGGGCTCTCCATAAGGCAGGTCATAAGAGAGCAACTGGCTTCCATCAAAGCGAACAAGTGAGATAGCAAGAGAAAACATGCAAAATGGAAGCCAGGAACTTTGTGTAACCTAATCATGGAAATGACACCCCATAATGTTTTCTGTATTCCTTTTTTGTTACTAGAAAAGTGAACTACACAAAGCAATAATACCAGAAGGTGAGGATCACTGAGAGCCATCTTGGGTGCTACCTACCACATAATTATATCACAAATTCACTTTTTAGTAGTTTTATAACTGCAATATTAATATAATCAATTTCCTTTGTAACCCCAGGTAGCTTATTTAATGCAAGGACAACAATTTGTTAATTTTTAAATTTTTTTATCTAATTCCATGAAAGATTAAGAAACATTATTTTGAAAAGGGGTCCATAGACTTCAACAAACTTCCAGAAGTTTACATAGCTCTAATTTGAGGTACTTTCAATGACTGCCTGAGGAAATTTGTTTACGATGGTCTCAATTTAGAAACCAGATGTCAAAGCTTTAGCCTACCCCATATTAACCCAGTCTGATAGCCTTTGCTGGTTCATATTACCCTTATGCCATGAAAAAGCATGGAATACTTGAAAACATACATTTGCTATAGAACAAACCATAAACTGTTCTCTATCTTATCTGCTTGAATTGGTATACATATGCGTGCAGTACAGGGAGAGGGGAGCATAGGCGTATGTCAAGCTTGTTGGATCACAATTAAACCTCTCATGCTTGTATATGACAACTGTCATTTGAGTTTCAAAATGATCATATGAGTGGAGCTGATTTCACCAGGAGTATGCTAATTGCCAGACAACAGTTTCTCTCACTATGGAGCTATGTATGAAAAAGCACGGAGTGTAAGAAAAGAGAGAAATGATGCCAACAATCTTTCCTCAGTCTTTTGCATGTGTCACCTGCTCTTGGCAAAGCTAAAGACAGTGGATGATGTTTCTAAATGATATTTTCTGCAAGCACAATACCAGCTTCATATATTGTCTTAGAAGTCTACTAGCTAAGAATATTTTATGAAATTTCCAATATTTATATTAAAGCTAAATTTGTCAACAATAATTGGGAGTGATTCTTTTATTTGGCTTGCCCAGGGGCCAGTTTTGTGCCGGAGTGCAAATTGCATTATCTTCCCAAAGGCATCTCTTGAGTCATCTTACAGGGAGGTGGTCTGCCGCACAGTTCTCAGAGTCTAATGATAAAGCAGCCCAGTATTTTCTATTATTTTGGATTTTCCAAGAAAACCCGAACAAGTTTTCATGCATGCTACCAAGTTTTTGTGACCCTTCCAAATCCTAGTTCCTCTCAAGTCTCTAGAGTTCAAGTCATGGTGAAATGGAAGCTCCTAATCCCCACAGCTACTGACTAAGCAACTTGGGCAGCTGATCTGTTTTTGTTGACTACAGTTTTCTGATCTGCAAAATGCGTGGGTTCCTGATCCCTCTTTCCATTTCTAACATCCTAGTGAGAAGATCTCTGATGACATTTAGAATGTGATGACATTTAGAATGTGATTCATGTCCCAACACACTGGGCCACGCTGAAGGGAGGCCTGAACCAGTCTTGAGTGAAAAGGGCAGTGAGGTGAGGCTGGCGAGAGAGGGAAGCGATGCCTGTCCAGCCAACTCCCTCGGAATCCGTCGGGACTCCACCTGGCGGAGGTGGGCGGGGCCGGGGCTGGCGTTGACGACAGAAGGCTACTTCCGGCTGTGGTGCGTATGACGTCAGGGCGAGTGGGACCGACCCAGCCACCGAGAAGCCGAGGAGGGAGGGCTCGCGAGAGTTCACGGAGGCCGCCCCGAGATTCCGGCGCGGCCGCGGGTCCCGCCTCCCGGGGGCGGGGCGAGGGCGGAGCGGGGAGCAGGGAGCGGACGGGCGCCCGGCCGGCTGCGGTCCGTGCGGAGGCTGAGCCGGCCGCGGGCGCGACCGGAGGCAGGTGAGTGCGCGGATGCGGCGCTCGGCTGGGGGGCCCGGGCTCGGCGCGCCGGCCTCAACTCTGCGAGCAGGAGCAGTAGGAGATCGTGGGGGGTCTTTGGGTGTCCAGGGAAAGCTGGGCTAATTTCGGGGCTGGAAATGTCTCCGGGGAAGCTGCGGCGACGGCCTTGGCCCTCTTATTCCCCGGGGTGACACTGGCCCCGTGTCTCCAGAGAGGTGGCCGCGAGCCTGGGGTGGAACCTCTGCCCTTCCCTGCCCCTTTCCCCGTCCGCTCCTCGGCCCGGAGCGCCCCGCTCCGCGTCCCTGCCCGGGCTCCGTAAACAATAACAAATGTTGCGGGTCCCCTCTTAGCAGCCCCGGCGCTGCTGTCCCGTGCCCTCCAGCCGATGTCGCCGAGAGGAAGGATTCTAGGCATGGCTCTTCGATTGTGGGGGCTGTTTGTGTACCGTTCCTAAAAACTGATGCGTCAGATTGCTTGCTAAACATTTCTCAGACAGGCACAGTGAAGCCTCCCAGCGCCCAGAAGCCACGGAGAGCTCCAGCCGGTCTCAGAATCTGTCCCTTCCATTGAAACCCAGACCCCTCCTTTCAACATCATCCTCTCCCAGTCCCCCTTTCACCTTTAGGGACAGACGAGCGGTGGTTTAGTATGGGTATAGGAGAGATTATTATACTCGATTGAGTAGGGCAAGTCTCACCTTTTAAAAAGTTGCCAGGTTGACAGCAAAAAGAACAAACTTTATTTTCAAAACCAGTGGCCTCCCGTTGACTGGTGCTACGTTGTTTTGTGGACTCGCTTTTCGGTCCTAAGTTTGGAGGAATGAGATAAGTAAGACATGGGCAGTCGGGGGAGGGCTAGTGGTGCTGAAGGTAGTGGCTCGTCCACAAGTGAGATGCTGTTGTTCCTCACTTGATAAAATGCAGAAGCAGCGTCCTTGCCTGCTTCACGTAACTTGTAATAAGTTTTGATAGAAACCACTTACTCCGAAATGGCCTGAGTATTATTGCTGCTAAAATCTGAAGAAACAACTCTAAGTGTTGGAAGTTATGACTCCTGATTGTAAGGTGAGAATGGATGACTGAGACTTTGTATTTTTGGTGAGGGGTCTTAAATCTGACAAATCTTCCTACTTTAAAGCAGGGTCTATTGTTCTTAAGTACGATTTTGCTTACCCAGTACAGATTTTTGAAAGTCCTTTGTCTTAATCATATATTTATATAAGATACTGGAAGCCTCTTTGAATTTGACTGGTTTTTCTCTCTATGCCTCAGGATATGTAAAATAACTAAGTTTGCTATACTCTCTCCCCTGTGGCTGAGAGGTATTGTATGTGAATTAGACACTCTTGTGGCTATTTGAGAGGAGAGAAATTCATTTAAAATACGATGTTACATTATGATATTTACATAATTTCATTTCATAGGTTCATCACAGTACTTTGATCAGAAAAATTCTGATCTCAAAAGAGGTACAATGAATTAAAAGGTTTTTTTTGGTTTGACCTTACTAAACTTTGTTTTCTTAAGATGGCTGATAATTGTTTCCCATTTGGTTGGGATGTGTTTAGAATGAGAAGCAAAGTTGGGTGTAGTTTTTGTATTCTTTTGAAAGGCCTTGCCACTGGGAATGAGAAAATTAGACTTAGAAAACAACACTAAATAGGAGTTCTTCTCTGGGTTTTTGTTTTTGAGTTTGCTTTAAAATAAGTCCAAGAGTAGAGACTAAGATTATTTGTGCAAACGAATAGGTGTTCTCGGCAGGTTTTATGCTGAAAACTTAATTTGTAAACACTAGAAGAACAAAGGATAATTTGTACTTCCTAGAAAATGATAAAGCAATGGCCTCAGTTCAGCTGTTTGTTTTCAGAAAAGTTCTGTTCTCTTAGAGTGAGGGCAGCATCATTGTGTTAGTGAAGTTGGGTAACACGCTTTTAAAGTGCTTCCCCAGTGATCCAGAATAAGTTGGAGACTTTTTGTGTGTGTGACACTTTTTTAAGAGGGAAAAGAGGACACAAATCAAAGCCAGAAAGATTTGCATCTCAATGTAATGTTAAAATGATTTTATTTTATGTAAATAGTGTAGGGTGAATCAAGTAAGCATATTGTCATCTAGCATCCTAGGATTGCATTAAAATCAGCAGATGGACAAGTTATGATTAGGTTAGACCAGACATATGCAGAAATTATGCTACTGTATTTATATTAAAAGCACTGTAGTCTTTTAGAAGGAGATAATGAGAGCAAGTCTTTAAGACATAAGAAACTTTTTTAAAAATTAAAAAGATATCTTTGGTCAGTAGTTTAAAAGAATAAAGTGAATCCTCCTTTCCTCCCCACTCCCCAGATTTTTTATTAAATCTTAAGAGAAGATTTAGCAAGGTATGACCAGTTCTGAAGTGCACTGGTTGCATAAGCGTGCTGTCTCAGGTAAAGGTTTGCTAATTGACAGAGTATTGTTCGGAATCTTTAGAGGAGGGACATGAAAGGCAACAGTTTGCAGCCCTGTACACTCAGATAAACTGTAGTCTCTTCCTCAAGGAGGTGTAATCCAGTAGGAGGGAAAAGTACTCACCCAAATAACTATCATACAAAATGCATTTTATGAGGAAGCCAAGGAGGAAGGTATTGCATCCTACTAGAGGAATTGAGGAAGATGTTGAGTAGGAAAAGGCATTTGTGTAGATGACTTGGGTGATCATATGATAATGATAATAAGCAAACACCGTATGTAATGCTGCTTGCTGTGAAACCTTTACATGTACTGCTTATTTACCTGGGTTTAATCCTCACAACAAGTATGGCACAGTTATTTTTATTATTCCCATTTTGCAGATGGAGTAACTAAGGTACCAAGGTTAGACAGTTTGTAAGTGCTAGAACCAGGATACTGACCCAGGCATTCTGACTTGTACCTTTTTGGCTGTGCTTTACTGCTGTCTGTATTCTTTATGACAGTCTTCTTCAGGTCTGTAGTTTCAAATAATTGATTTGGGAAAGTTCCTTCCTCTGGCATCTAAATTTTGGGATCAGTTTTCTAGAAAAAGCTCCAAAATAATGAAAACCCAGGTAAATAAGTTATTTTTGGCGTGTTAAGTATTTCTGGAAGTGTTCTGGGTGCACATTAAATGTAACCATTGAGTGGGACTTCTGATCATTTTGCCTTATTATCTGTGAGCATCCATAATGATTTAGAAGTGAGAAGTTATGTCTTCTGAGCTCAAGTGATTCCTCTTCCTTAGCCCCCCAAGTTACTGGGACTACAGGCATGTGCCACTGTGCAACGCTTTGTCCTGTAAGTTTTTAAACCACTTGGTACTGGGGTTTTTTGGATTGAATTATGAAGCTGGAATTTAGTTAATGATTGAATGTCAGTCTCAGTCCTTTTGGTTTTTGTTTCCACAAACAGCTGTACTTACAATGGCAGAAACAGTGTTTTGAATAGAATGTTGTACATGTGTAAAATGAGAAAAGTGCCATCATTGATACTTTATGTTAAGGCAATTTAAAAGTTCTTTGGGATTGTGAAATAAAAGGAGCTATAAAAATGTAATGTGCCTGGTATAGGCCAACTCAATACTGTAAATGCTTGTTGAAAGAATGGTTCACCTGATTTCATATATGAAGTTTCAGGAATAGTCCACATTTGTTATTGGTTGTCTAAGAAATGGAATCACAATAAATTTAATTGGATTTAAAAGTTGGAAAAAAATATATCTAGGCAGGAAGTATAAGGGTGAGCAGTGATGGGATATTTCCCTACCCATTCCTAACTGTCTAGAAAGATCCAGGCTCCATCTCCTTTGTCAGTGACCCTAACTGCCCATACTTATAGTTGAAGTAGAGCTCCAGAGTCATCGTCTCTGTGAACGACTATCGGTGTTCTCTCCTTGACTGAGTGGGGTAGGTTCTAGAAAACCTCTATGGTAGGATAATTTATTGTTGATGAGCTTAAAACCCAATGGAAAAAGTGTCAGAACTAAAGCCAGGACTTAAAGCCCATATATTTACATTATTAAAACAAGGTGAAGATGGCAAAACAAATAAGAAACAAAAAGGGTTTAAAAAAAAAAAAAACCACATCTTAAATTAGTAGTGATGACATACCGTTTTCATTTACCATTCCCTGATTGACAAAATCTTTGGGATCTTCAGTCTATAATTTCATGGAGATGCTTGTATGTCAACTGTGCTGTGTTGTAAAAAGTTTACAGGTTCCTCCTCTAAGTACAGGTTTGGCCCTGTAAAAAGGACTGTGAGTTGGTCCACAAAAGAGAAACCAGACAAACTCTTATCTCCTTGCTGATAGAAATCTTTGGGGCATCTTTTCCCGCAAAAGAATAATTTTGTCTACATTGAAAATCTGGAGCAGGTAACCTCCCTCTTAGGTGATGTCTGCACAGATCTTAGGGAAAACCTTAGCAGTTTCGGGTCATATAGTGACTTGGCCATACACATTGATATTGTATAAATTCAAACAGCCCTTAAGCCTTGGCAGTTGTCTGTAGCTTGTGATGATAGCACTTGGACTATGCTTAACTTTTAAATTCTTAAGGAAGCTCCTTGTCTTCCTCTGAATTAATAGTAGACTAATTGACAACTCATATTTATGTTGATTCTCTGGCCACATATAAAGGTTTCCTGTTTTCCTTGTCTTTTACTAATTTTCATTGATTCCATGAGTGTAGAATTTCTGCATATCATAATATATATGTCTCTGGTCCCACATGCACAGGTAGGATCCATTGTGATTTTTTTCTTTTTTACCTTCTTCAGTTATTTACTATCTCTACATCTGATTCAGGAGGGATTTGATTCCTCTCTTAATTGGAACACTTTTACTGCTTTTGCGATTCCTGAATAGGATGGAGTTAATAACGTTTAACACCTCAAATCAACCACAAATACAACACGCTTCCCCAGAATAAATAACAAGATGGAAAAACTAAAATGACTGTGCATGATGCTAATACCATCTATTTTTGGCATGCAGAGTTGTGCCTT